GTTCAGCAGAAAGGGAGTAACAAAGTGAATTCTACTTTTGTTTGTTGCCTATTAAGCAGCAAAGATACTTTTTGAGCTAAAATTTAATATCATGGAAAACAACAATCACTTTTAATAATCTATTTTTACAGTTATGAACAAGACTAATATAGACTAGCAATTGCACTGTCAAATTTCTCCTACTTAGATTCAAGCAAAACCAGTTTTTCTTAACCTGAAGAGCAGAACCTTAAAAAAAAATCCATGTGTTATACATATCATATTCCTTTTTTTCCCATGTCTGCATAAACAAAGAGAAGAAAAAACCCCAGATTTTAATAGGTGAATGCTACTTTGATACATCAACTCTGACAAAGCACATACCTTTCAGGGAGACACAGTTTATAAGAAATTAGTTCTACTTTCTACAAGTTGTCTGAACATCTATCCCAGCAGTGCAGTGCTTCGGTATTATCACAAACCTTTTTACACTGCAATGGTAATTGCTAAGGCTCATTTCTACCCCTAAGCATACCTAAATTCAAGAGCAAATCTGGATGACAGGATGCTAAGCAGCCAACATAGCCTCTACTCTTTTCAGTGCTATGGAACTGTAGCACTTTATTCAGAAGAAACCATCACCTGAATGTTAGTTTGTGTGCTAGCAAAATAGCTGTTATATTTAATTGATTCCAGAGTTTTGCTACAACAAAAAGCCATGTGCAGAGAGTAAAAAAATGTTAGAATAACCATGCTATTTGTGGGAGGTGTGGAAAAAAATAATGAGATTATACCTTCAAATAACCTACATAAAAAGGTTATTTCATTCTCCCTTCCCATGACTGCTCAGATGGGTAGGATTTAATGAAGACAGGTGCATTTGTAAATTACTAGAATAATGTATAATTGCCTTCAGCTGAAAAACACTGCCAAATTGCAAAATAGAAATTGTGTACAGGTGTAGCAAAACACTGGATTGATTGATGTTAGTATAGAGCTCTCAAGTGTTCCTATTCTTCAAAGTTAGCTGAAGTAACCATCTCCTCACTTACTTGAGTTGCTCATAAATGGTGCAAAATCTGTGAACAAATATTACATGTTGAACACAACGTGAAAGTGCTGATCCTTTGTAAGTTATAGTTTCATTACCTCAACATTTTTCACCGTTATTGATGATAGACAAATGGGAATTCTAGGTATAAAGTAAACACAGATGCTAAGTATTTCTATTAATTTTCTACTTCTGCTTTCATCAGGGTTTATTCTTGAAATTATTACTCCAATAATTTGCAATGCCTGTTACAAAGCCTCTGTTGTATACATGCTAAACTCAAATTGCTGTGACAAATCTGCTAGTTAATTAATGTAGTATTTTTCATTTTTGACATTGCTGCTACAAAAAGTTTTCCAGACCTCAGTTAATACCAAACCTGCCTATTTCAATAATAATATAGAAACCTCTGTTTAGGATTCTATACTGAATGTATGAATTCAATTAAAGGATACTTGTACAATTATATGACATCAATGAAGAGATGGAAAGAATAAACTACATCATTTGAAGCACATATCCATTGACACCTGAAAGACTTTTAGCTTAAACACCTAAGAAGGGCAATGAAGATGATTAAAGAACTAGGGCAACGAAGATGATGAAGGGACTGGAGCACTTCACTTTTGAGGAAAAGGCTAAGGGATTTGGGGCTGTTCAATTTCAAGAAGAGACAACTGAGAGGGACCTCATTAATGTATTATATGAATGTTTGAGGAAAAGGCTAAGGGATTTGGGGCTGTTCAATTTCAAGAAGAGACAACTGAGAGGGACCTCATTAATGTATTCAAGTATATGAATGAGAAGTGCCAAGATGATGGATCAGGCTCTTCTCAGCTGTGAAAACCAATAAAACAAGAGGCAATGGGCAAAAACTGATGCACAGGAAGTTCCACCTGAATGTGAGGAAGAACTTCTTTATTGTCCAAGTCACTGAGCACTGGAACAGATTGTCCAGACAGGTCATGGATTCTCCCTCACTGGACATATTGTAGAACCATCCAGACACAATCCTGAGCTGTGTGCTTTAGGATGGCACTGCTTGAATAGGGAGGTTAGACCAGATCACCCATTGTGGTCCCTTCCAACCTAACTGATTCCATGATTCTGTGAAATCAGAATTACTTCTTACTACCTTCTCAGATCACTATAACACACAGAGGTGAAATTCCCATGTAGTGTAATTATTTGCAATAGGAAGAACTATTCTGACGTTAACAAGAGTCTCTAAAGGTCACTATCAATTTTTTTCGGTACTGTAATGTTTTTTTCTTCAGAAATAGGATGCCATATTTCAAGACAAGTAAAACAAATGCAATGAAAAACAGTGAAAAGAGTGGTGGAAATGTCTAAATAAATGTGATGAGAACACAAATATTCCAAGCTTTGTGTGCTTAAGCTAAAGATCTGCTCTTTGATACTTCCAATCAGCAATACTGTGCATGAATATGTATTTTATCCATTCAGCTCTAGAGAGAACTTGTGAGCTCAAATTGAAAGCAATTTGCCACTTTGCAGAAATGCTTCAAATGCCTTTTCCAGCCATTTAAGTCATGAGCTTTCTTAAGTGCTTAAACCCACAAGGACCCATTCCTTGATAATATCTTCTCATGGGGTCCTGATTTTACCTGCCATATATCTGTTGCAAAGTTCCCTGAAAACCTCAAATTCTCAGGTAATGCTCATCCAATGCATAACACAGTAAATTAATCAAAGGGAATGAGACACCTTTCTATATAGACTGAGAGTAAATAGGGCATCTGTATTCCCATTATCCTTCATGTCCCAGGACAACCTTCTAATCTCAGCCTAATGGGACTCTGGGGAGAGCACCTTCTCTCCATCTCCCCTTTCCTCTGTTAATTTCTGAGATTCCTTTTATAACAGACAATCACTGACTTTTGGGGTGGGATGGTGGGAAAAGAGCAACAATCCACTGTGCAAATATCACTCCAGAAACTGTGTATCAAATTTTCACCCTGGCAGTATTAAACATGGTAACTTCTATACTTTCTTGCTGAATGTGAAAGGCAGTGACTTATTCTCATTAGTGCATTGCTTTGACAATAAACACCCATCTGTGAAATCAGTAGAAGGAAGGTCTAATAAGAAAGCAGAGACTACACAAAATCTGCCACCCTGTAAGCAAAAACTGCATTATCAGCATTCATATAATTTTTAAAAAGAGAATGTAGCCTGACGTATGTAAGGCTTTCAGTCATGTAAAGGACAAAATTATTAGCACTTTTTAAAAGCATCTACATCTATGTCTATATAGCTATATATTACAAAATTAAAATAGGACAACAATGAACATTGATCAAAAATGCCAGCAAATGCAACATTAAATCAAGAACTATTTTTAAGAGATGTGAATTATTACGAAAAAAGGGTTTAGGGAGAGCTATTCAGTACTGGTACCTGTGTCTACTAAAAGTATTTTAATTTCTGCAAACTATTTGCCTGTTTCAAACTTTTCAAAATATTTACCTAAAATGAACATAGAAATATTCTTAAAAACCCTAGGAATTTCCTTCAACCTAGCAAACCCAAAATCCATTCTAGAGATGCTTTATTCAGAATATTGTCACCAGAATTCTTATAACACAAAACTCTCTCTCCTCACCATAGTCTGTGACTGATTTGGGAGCACGTTGTTCTGTTTCTGCATTGCGTTTCTTATTCTTGGATTTCCAAGCATGATACACCTTTAGCCTTCGGTGGAACTCTTCTCTGCAAGCTGCCAACAGTTCAATATCTATCACAAAAAAGAAGAGGGAAGGGAAGAGTTAGAAAAATCAGAAAAATTATTTATGAAAATGATCTATATTGATAGGTATATAATTTGAGATCAAGCTGTACCACTAATACACTACCATTTAATATAATAAACCTTCATTCCCTGCAACACAGGGCCTGTGTTTTATGGCCCAGAAAGTCCTTGGAGTGCTCTCTATCTTTTTCTCTTTTAAAAGAGTTAAGCCAGTCCCCAAAGTAGCTGTTGAACTGGGAGATTTGGAGCAGTGAAATGGTCCAAATAAAACTTTTACTTCACTCCATTTGCCTGTTGACATCATCACAAGCCAAGCAGTACAAAAACAGATAAAATTTTACCACTGAAATTTTTCTATAACTGGCAGTACAAAAACAGATAAAATTTTACCCCTGAAATTTTTCTATAACTGAAAAAAAGAAAACTGGCAATTTGACAGCTCAGATCTAGGTTCTTTTTATACTTATGTATTTTCATTTTGCTGAATTTCATTATACTAAGAGACTGAATGATCCAAGGGTTTTTCATCAGTCATCTAAGAGTATCCAAACTGGCTTCACTAGGGATGGACAACACATATTACTGCAGCACCTATTCAGCTGAAAACATTGCTCTAATATTGCATACGTAAAAACAGCCAAAGAGAATGGGTTTGTTTCCAATTTCTACATCCAGCAAGGATTTCTGAGTGGTCTTACATCAGAAATTAACTAACTGCTTTTAATCAGAAACAGGAAGAAACAGTATCTAATAAAGGAATTATTCTTCTCCATTTCTATCTTCACAAAATTGGTGGGAAAGCAATTAATGCACCAACTGTTGACTTCCCAAAAGAAGTTGCACATTTTGAAAACTAAAGAATAATCTGAGTATCCAAACCAAAAAATATTGCATGCTGTGTTTTAAATGACATATTTGTTTTCTTTGTGATCTGCTGTCAGCAAGAAGAGATAGCAAAAAATTTCTTAGAACATGCAAATTCTAGGCAAAACATAATAACTATTATTCCCATTGTGGAAATACATAAAACTGAGACAACTTAATTAAGAAATGGTAACATGTATCTTATGGCCCAAGCAGTTTAACATCATAAATATGTAATCACTACAAGCGGTAACAAAGGAAATTATTTCCTTAATATGGAAATATCTCAATTTACTGTTCTTTTGAGGCTACTAAAACATTTTAAAATTAGTTTGTTAATCATCTCTACCTGAATAAACTTTATATCTTTGTTAAAGGAAGAAACTATCACCTTTCACATAACTACAACTTGACTCCTCTTCAAATCAGAAAAAAAACCACCACTTACCACAGGAGGTATTGATTGTATCACGAAGCTCTGCATATTTCCACTTACTGAGATCATGCTTCTTATTACCAGCAGCAGCTTTGGTGGCTTGCACTGCAGGACCCCTATGATTATGTAAAAAAAAAATAAAAAAAAAAAAAGTAATTTTTCAAGTATTAAACAGGAATTGTTATAAGACCAAGAGCAGATCCCATTAGCAACACTGCATCATGCCTATTACAATGAAAATCAGTAGCAGAGAGGCCGAATTCAAAGACAAAATACCACATTATTTTCAAGATGTTCAAACTATTAAGAGAACATGAATGCATCTTTTATGTCCAAAATCATATCCTAATCTGATTGGTTGTCTAGAGATTAAAAGGAATTGTCACTAACAGCTTATGTATGAAAAGACAAATACTCTATTTATGTGTATCTCATTCTATGCTGATGTACATTTTTCTTAGTGCTAGTCAAGATGCAGAAAACAGACAACAAAGAGTGGCCATAGGCATTTTTAGTTCCATTTGAAAAACAGGCAAGGAAAAATATTTCTGAACTAGAAAAAGGAGAAGGAAGAAAAGGTATTTCCTCTACTGTGTAAAATTAGGACAAAATTCTTGTACTAAAACTTGAGAAAATATTCCATGTCTTTGAAAAAACTCTCAGGGTTTGGATTAGTCTTTTTATACTGGTCAGCCTTTCCTCTGAGTGTTTTTTTTACCTTGGTAAAATTCATTGTAGGTTCATATCTTCCCTAAAACCCCTGAATAAATATTGCTGTTCTCAGACAGCCCCTATACAATTAATACAGAATTATTTTAGTTTCTTCTCTCAAATTACACTTTTGCCAAAGTCAAAAAGTATTCATCATGTAGGTATTACGCAAGAAGGTCAACAGAAAATGCAAGTGAGAAATTACTACTAAAACCTCCACCAACGTTAAGAGCATGTGCAAGGTTTCCTCCTTAGGAATAGCAAATATTCATCCCTTAGGAATAGCAAACTTCCCATGGATTATTTGCATATAAAAAGATCAAAACACTCCAACACTCAGTGACAATCAACATACTTTTACAACACTAAGGAATTCATCAACAGACATATGATTTTATCAACCTGCACAAACAGTCATGACTAGGAACATAAATCAAGTTGAATTATCTTTTGGGATCTGAGAGGATTTGTTCAGAAGAAACTAGATGTTTGGCAGGGTAGCAAAATTCTTGATGCAATATGTCATACCAAAAGTTCACAAGAGAGAAAAACCAGCAGAAACACAGTCTTCTCATTTGAAGATCTGTTTGCACAGTAATATCTTTGTGGGACTGGTACGTAATTACAGTAGGTATAATCCAATGAATATTATTTTAATATTTATTTTCCATAAAGGTCTCATATGATACTATGAAGGTTGATGTTTATTTTCCATTTTTAGTGAATAGGGTATAAATAACTCTTATGACCTGAAAAATTCTTTAGCACATATAAGCAGAGATAACAAATGCAATTTAAATGTCACTGAATAAAACAATCTGTTTAACCAATGTTGTTCTTAATAACAACTAAACTGTCTCATCAATGTAATTAAAACTACAGAATATTACTCTTTATTGCAGCATCATCTTAATAATGCCTATTCATGCTACTAATTTGAGTCAACACACAGCTTCCAGTTATAGTATGTGAGAATTCTGGCATAAAAAATTAACTTAGCACTACTTCTAAATGTAAACCAAATCATTGGATTGGACAGACATTCTCCTTCAAAATACACATTTTAATATTTTGTTATTATTGGCAAACCCATAGGACATTAAAGGATTGCTGCTAAATAATTTCCGCTGCCTGGTGTCTAACCTTCTTCAACCTAATTTGACAAATCCCATGGATTTTCCTTATTTAGCAACACTACCCACCACTCTAAGGGTTTGCTCCATAATTTAGAGCAGCAGAACTAGGCTCTACAATCTCTGGTTAAACAAGTAATCTCTAAGAATGCTAATCCAATTGAATGGCTTAGTCCTTCTATTACAGTACTACTCTGCACTCTGCAGATCACTCTTTTGTTTTCTACATGACTTTTAGCATAGTAGTCTAGCAGTAAGAAGAATCTTGACAATCAGTCTTCACTACTTAATCTGACAGTTACATATGATAAACAGTATTTTCAGACTTTAAAAATAATCAGTCTCAAATCAAAAATTTCCAGTGTTTGAAAAGTGAGAAAAATTTAGTTCAACAAGCACGAATTAAGTACTGCATTTTGAACCCAAACAAAACACAGAGCCTCAGATTTTACCCTAAAGCTTTGTAATTTTTTTGCACATTAAAAATTGACCACTGTCATTTGAACTGTCAACTGTCAACTTAATTACCCACCACGTGGCTTATTCTTATTCTTAAAGTAACACCACAAGAAACAGATTTAGTTATTAGCTGCATTCCCAATTGTCAATGCTACAACTAGAAAACTCATGTGAGACTCATCATCTTCAGACTATCTATACACTGGATAGTAGCTTGTTTGACAACTAATTCACTTTCAAAATTCTAAATAATTTTGCTTCTTATGTAAGCTTCAAAAACGAATGTCAAAGATCATTTCTGTCCTCAGATTTCCCAAAACACTTTCGAACTACCCACTGATATGGAGGACCCTATAGCAATTTCTTTGAACAGAGATTAGCATTCTAACATGAACTGGTATGAGGCTGTTCCAGGAGAATTGTTCTCCTTTCCTTCTGCACTGTGCATAAAATCTTGCATTAGCATTCAAAAAATCTCAGAAGGGGATTTTGTTTAGATGCCTTGAGAGGGGTTTTAATATGCTCTTAACATGGTAATTTTCAAAACTGCTTTTATTTGAAGGGAACTATAGTTAGAACATTTTCTTACTAATAGCACCAACAGTTACGTTAACATTAAATAACTTCACTAAATCTGTGCTGAATCTGTAGAAATTCACCTTCAAAAGATGTGGAACCTAGTTTTCTATTATCACAGAGGTGAAAAGAGAAGAAAGGTGAATGACATTAACAAAATTACTCAAAACACCAGGGTACATGAACTATTATTCTTTTTTTCATATAAACAATTGACATAGCAGAAAAATAACTGCTGAAAAAAGGTGTTGATAAAGGAAGTTTATCTGAAAAAGGAAGTTACTTGTCTGCTTATCAACCAAAAAAACCCCAGATTCCATCATTTTTATTTCCATAATAATCCAACCCATTTCATGTGCAGTTTCTTTTTATAAAGTGATTGAGTCATTTGGTATTGTCTTCTCACCTACCTAGACAATATTTCTGACATTTCTGTGGCCATTTGTTCCCTATAAGAAAATTGATAAATGAGCATAAACCAAATATATTGATGTAAAAACAGCCTTTATAACTGTGAAAGTCTCTTGCCAATCAAGCTGAAGTTAAATTAAGTGCAAAATGGCTGCTTTTTGCCAATAATTTCCATTCACACATCAATATATATATGCATATATATATTTATGTAAGTACTGAATCAGGACTCTGTGTAAAGAGCAATAAATCACACAGGGCAGTGAAAAACGAATGAAATGTGAAAAACTTCACAGTAATTATATAATCACCTTGAAATAGATATTATTAGGTATATTAGATCATTAAAGTGTTTATTAGATGTAATAAAAGCAGTGAATATAAGGTATTACAAACTGATTTAGAGGTTATGGTTGTACACTAATAAAGATTATTATGGGGTATTAGTATATAAGAGGACTATCAGTTTCCTCTGAATTAATTAGTGGTGGGTGTTTTTTTCTATTAGAGCATTCAAATGGAAAAAAAATGCCATACGCAGTCATTTGTGGCTTTCTTCCATTGGCTCTGCAAATAGAAGATATTTATGTTAGACAGACTATTTCCTAGTTAACTTTCTAATAATCTGAAGTGGAATAAGGTGGGGCATAGTATTTCCTGCTCTCTCACAATTTATCTATTTTCTTATGAACTTTTTTTCTCTAACTGAGAAATAGGCCTATAGAGACATTTTTTTCCCACCTTTCTCATTCAATCCTGACTTAAATTCTAATTTGGAAAAAACATACAAATGCAAACTTCTCCCACCTTTTCTCCCACATTCCATCTTTCAAAATCAAAGACCTTGAGATATGCTACTGATTAATTTTATGCTTGGATAAGCATATCACAAGAAATAACAGCAATCCTCATGAGGCTACTCTGGGAACAGGACAGATGCTTCTTCATGCAAGCTGTGAAAAGACCCTGAGTCAACACAGAACACAACACCTTCCCTGAGAATAGCTTCTTTTGGTGCTAGATGCTATACTATATGTTTCAATGAGCCACATAAATTAAAAACACTGTTCATAGAACAGAATCATAGAATCATCAAGGTTGGAGGAGACTTCTAAAATCAAGTCCAACTGTTCACCTGCCACTCTGCTGTAACCTCTAAACCATATCCTCCAGCATCAGATCCAGATACCCCTTAAACTCTTCCAGGGATGGTGACTCCACCACCTATTGAAAGCAGTTATCTATTATTCAACTAATCTTTTTACTTAAGTGCAAAGTACTGCCGTTAATTTACCCCTAGATGCAGTAAATCCCTTATTACACATCCTTTAAAACTGTGGATGAATAATAAAATTGGATGAAGCTAGAGGAGGTCCAACATATTCCTCACAGAATCAGTACGAATAAAAATGCTGATCTACTGCCAGAACAAACAACTTTTCTTCTTAGACAGAAATAGAATGTATTTTTCAAAGGAACTGCTAATACTTATGTACCTTAAAATATCTATCAAAGCTAATGGTGAATGTGGTAAGGTATCAAGGAGAAAATAATAAAGTAGAGGTTACTTTTTCTATTCATTTTCAAATATGACACACAAGTATCACACATTCCTTAAAAATGAGCATATAAAATCACCTTCTTCTTACTCTTTTCAGTCCACAGGTAGGAGCACACAATGAAAAATACCCTTTAGTTCATACTAATGTGTAAGCATGAAACCAGTAGAACCAGTATACTGCATGAATTCAGTATGAAGTAATATATACATTATCTTACTACAGCAAAATTTAAAAGAAAATATAAATACATATATACAAAATCAGTGTTTTAGTGTATCATATGGCCAATTTGAGACTTATTAAATTACATATTTTGTTCAAACCAATAAATAGCTTTCATCTCAGGGAATTCCCATAGTTTCTAACTTTAAGCCAATTCCTGCAGTTATGTGAAAATCTATTCTTTGATCTCACTAGAAGATAGTGGGGTCTGGGGAATGCTTTTGTTTGGTTTTAAACAAACAAACAAAAAATAAAATCAAGGATGAAATTAAAAACATTCTATCTGAATTTTGGACATGCTTAAAACTATTTGAAGCAGCCTGTAGAAAGAGGAGGAAAAAATAGCTAATGAGATAAAAAGAAATCTCATGTAAGCAGAAAATCTATTACTTTTTTCTAGATTTATGTACTAACTTGCTCAAGAAAGGAATTACATTGCTATGCTAAGTTGTTCAGACCATTCAGCACTTTTCAATAATTCAGAAAAAATAGTCTTCAGTCTCCTACCATTAGCTACACAGCAGAGAGAAACTGCAAGTCATAAATAGTTATGATGATGGTTAGTTCATCATCCATTCTGGGATTACAGAAGAAAGGCAAATACCAAAGTCACCCATGAGCAGTAGGAAACACTATGGAGATTAGAGCTTCACTGACAGAAAACTTATGGAATTCTCTGGGCCCTTCCTGCCTATTGCCTCCCTACTTTCATAATTAAGAGAACTCTGCCAGGTTGCAACACTGGAGTGATTTTGTGGCTGGTTTCAAAATATTGCACCAAAATCCAAACTGGGAAAGCACAAAAATCTCCAGAATTCTGTCTATGAACATCCAGCTGAGCACAGCAGTCTTTTCAGAGACAATATGACAGCTGCTGTATAACTGAAGGCAAAGCCACAACTATTTTAGTGGAAGTGTCTCAAAATCAGTATTGTACATTTTTAAAAAAACTACCCACCTATCTCATGTAGGAGTACAGATATTAAAAACGAAAGTATACATCTGGATAAAAAGGGGGTAGCAAAGGGAACACATTTGGGAGCTTGAAATTCCATGGAAACATGGGGAATTTTCTTGCACTCCTTCTTTCAACAGTACTAGTTCAATTAGTACATAATTGAAGTCATCGATTATGTGGTCTTGTTCATAGGTCCCTTTATGCAATTTGACCAGTAAGTACCATTTTTACTGGATCTTCTGAGTTGCTCCTAAGGCATCACCTTTGACACATGAAGAGTTCTTGCTCTGCAGACAGGCAGTGTGGATCTCTATGCCAAAAGTCAAGCACTGCTTGTGACACATCAAAAATTCATACAAAACTAACACAACATTTAATTTTCAAACCCATCTGTGTTAAATATATTTATTTCACTTTTAAAATCTTATCAGTCAGGACACAGAAATAACTATTATTTCTGCATTCAAAGAGGGCTTCTTGTTAAAAAAAATAAAAATAAACACACAAATTCATACTGTGTAACTGGAACTATTGAAAAGGTGTTTTTTACTACTACTTACCACTGAAGAAATTCCATTCCTGACTTTCAATAAGTTATAAAAATCAGAATTTAAATTGGTTGCTATCCTTGCCAGAACTCAAAAAGAGAAAGAACCTCAGTTGTATTCACAAGCACCTACAAAAGTGCTGATGTAGCAAGATGCAAAATGGAGAAAGAATAAGCAAAACCAATCTGTTTCTAACAAATTTCACAAGTTAGCTTGAAAAATATTCTAATACACTGCCTTGAAAGGTCCATTTAATGAACACAAAAGTTACAGACCAACCAACATGAGCATAGTCTTCTCAAAGGGATCAGGATAGGAAGAAGGAAAAAAACTTCTGTGTAAACAGAGAGGGAGAGCAATGTGACTACTTAAGCCCATACCTGCGCAGTCCTAAATCAAGCTGAGCCTCATCACTGATGAGTTCTGCCTCACTCTGGGCAATTCTCATTGCAAGTTCATGGTCACGACGTTCCTGTTCAAGCACTGCCTGGTGTTGGGTTTCTTCTTCTCGTTCTCTAGCTAGCTGAGCCTCAATTTCAGCCTGTTTTATGAAAACACACCTTTAACCTTATTCAATCAAACCCAAGATGATACATAAGCAATATTATTCAGTTTCCCCCTAGAGAAACAAAACAGCTACAGATTGCATCTTAATTTTTACACAGTTTAACAAATAACCATTGTCTAATATGTCTATTACCTTTTGAAATGAAAGTGCCAAGTAATTTTTAAATACTTTTTAAAGCATTTTAAAAATGACATGAAGCTTTTTGTTTGCTATTAAGAAAACTAGACTTTTTAGAATCATTAAAACTCATGATATAGAGCACTATGGTTATTCCTCCATAGTACTAGCACAGTACTCCCTAGATGCTTGGCACTTGGCATTACAGAACTTTGCAATAGGTATTGTTTTGCCTGTAGGTCCATAGTTCATTTTGAAAAGGGAACAAGACAGACACTGGAATCCTCTGTGGACCTGATCTGGCTTTAAATTTAAGCAAATGGCAGAATTCTGACTTACTGCAATGCAGAAGCAGCACAGATATACTGCCTCTGCAGAGCAAAACTACAGTTCCAGTCTACCATCATTACTTAACACCAAGTAAAACAGAACCATCCAATTCATACTTCCAAAAGCCATATACACCAAGTTTTAGCAGTGCCTTACTTGGTGCCCAAAAGTCAACAAGGGAGATAAAGTCACTTCCCACTCATCATCGTGAAGTTGCACCACTAAGGTCATGGAGTTACACCAGTGACTTTACCCTATAAATCCCATTTTAGATTAGCTTGTAGGAAACAACCACCAAGAGGAAAGACAATAAGAAATTAACTGTATATGGTAGAATGAAACACCCAACTGGATTACGTATCTGCTTTGTATCCAGTCACAGTGTTACTAAATAAAAGTGCATATTACATTCTGCATTGCAGCTATCCATATCTCAGAAACAAAGAAACATTAATAAAGACAATCCCCAGAGATGTTCATAGTGCTGGCAGACCAAGTTTTTTAACCTTCTGGCAACAGGTCATCTTGCTTCCTCAGTGGGCAAAGTTAATCCATTTAAACTGCCCCTGAATGCAAATTTATCCAAGGAATTTCTCACAAAGCACTAGGCACATGTGCAGTGGTCTCCAAACAAAGATTTAGAGACAAACCAAACAGCAGCTTACACTTTTTAACTTCTGCAAACTCGTAGTGCTTATTACACAGATACAGGTGACAGACCAGATAACAAGGGAAAGATGCACTTTGTATCAACATTAGGCTAATTTGTTAGTTCCACTGACTTGTTTATCCAGGATGAGGGTGAGGTGATAGAAAAGAGTATGCAGATGCAAGAAGGATAAGCAGTGCCAGGGATAATGCACAGGAGAAAAATTCTCCTTGTGATTAATCATGGAGAGGGCTTAAAAAAGTGTACAAAAAACTGGTGACCATGGCCTTGTACTTGCTACAACTGCCACGACACAAAAGCTATTTTTCTTGAAACAGTTATCCCAGGTCACCCAAGTAATCTCCAAGACAAGAGGACAAAAAGGGTATAGGGGCCAAAGACACCTCAGAGTGAGAGCTCATTATGGAATCAGCAAGAATTGCCAGGAATCAAGGGACACCTCAGAGTGAGAGCTCATTATGGAATCTGCAAGAATTGCTAGGAATCAAGGGACGAGGGTGAAAAAGAGGGATTTGAACTCTATGTGATTATTCCACATGAATGCAGCCAAAAGGGCTCCCAGAGACAGTCTTGTATCCTCTCATTATTACCAATATTCTGAAAGTGTTTACAGTTAAACAGGTACATGACACAATCTGAGTCCAGATGTGACTTCTAGTAAGAGTACCAAACTTGCCTGACATGGAACATCTGCAAAAACTTCAAAGGCTAAACTAAGATTCTCCAGTGTTGTGTATTTTTAACTTTAAAATAACTTTTAAAACCCTTTAAAAACAAATGCATCTCTCCTCAGAAGCCCTGAAGTTGCATGTGAGCTAGAAATTGGTGATCTGTCTTGGGATGCCTCAGATTTACTACTAAAGCAGAACGAGTGAATGACCCCAAGACATACGTTTTATAAAAATGAAGCCATTACAGTAAATGAAGAACCTAAACTGCAAAAAAAGATTAAAAAATAAGTAAATAAATACCAAAAAAACCCCAAACCAGCCACCACAATAATAAAACAAACCCCAAAAGTCACACACAAATAAGACATTAACCTGAATACGCTTTTCTTCCTCTTCTCGTTTTTTCCTCTTTTCCTCTCCCTGTTTTCTCTTTGCCTCAATCTCGGATTTCCTATTACAAAAAAGGAGAAGGAAATGAAATCATACCATTATGATGCAAGTGAACAAGAGATAGGTAAGTATCCTCCATAAAACTGAATGGCAATCCAGAAGGCAGTACACTCCTGATGACAGGACACTACATGTAAAGTCAAGAAACTTTCCAAGGTCATCTGTATTTCCAGCTGCATCATGTAATTTCATCCATATGCTATTCTGACACTTGCCTTAGAAACCACTGGGAAAGGAAATATTTCAACAATACACAGCACACCAGGAATACCCATCCAAGTGACTCTCTAAGTATTAAAAGATGACCTCATTAAAAAGCATTTCCTATATTCTTCTCTTTCTACAACCAGCAACTTATTCCAATACAAGACTCACAGACGTCTTTCCTCTTCATCCTTCTTTCGTTTTTGGTCTTCCTCTTCACGTCTCTTTCTTTCTTTTTCCATTTCCTCCTGGATGCGTCGTAGCCTTTCTGCTTCCTCCTCTTGCTGCTTCTTCTTTTGCAGTGCACCCAGAAGCTGCTCTGAGCTTTTAAGCAAAGCATCATATTCTTTCTGTATCTGTTCCCTAGTCATTATAGTAGTCTGCAAAAAGAAATAATGAGAAAGAAGTTAATTCTGCTGTACTTTGCTTTTGAAAAATGTATGTTGAAAAAATATCAAGTGAACTGAGAGCACTGAGCAGTATAATTAAATTATATATACATTTCACAGTGGGGGAGCTTGAGTACATTCTTCCCTTTCATTCTAAAGTCCTGGGGATCCATTACTCTCCTCTCTAAGATAAAATTGTACAAAGTCATCACCATTTCATCACTGAAATTAAACATGACTTCTCTTTAAAACATGCCTTCATTTTTAAAACCTTGCAGTTTTAAGCCACAGAAATTAATTCTTACCATGCTAGAGTGAAAACTAAGGGCCACCCGCGTGCATTTTGTGTTGTGTTCTTGTCTGCTATACTGGTTATTTAGAGCTCTGCCTTTTATGCCTTAGGATAGAACAGTTAATCTTACTACTTCAGCTAGCAGTCAGAAAAAGTATTAGCTCTGCCTTTTATGCCTTAGGATAGAGCAGTTAATCTTACTACTTCAGCAAGCAGTCAGAAAAAGTATGGGGCCATGGTATGACTAACATTTTAAAAAGAAGGTATTATTAGCAAAATACAGATTGAAAATACTTAATAGCCTTTTCTACATGTGTTTTCACACCTTATTGATAGCCCAAATTTAGTTTCATTTTAAAATTTACATCATACTTATAAAACTGCAAAACGGGGTGTTTGCTGACCTTTCCTGATGAAAATACTTAATAGCCTTTTCTACATATATTTTCACACCTTACTGACAGCCCAAATTTAATTTCATTTTAAAATTCACATCATACTTATAAAACTGCAAAACAGGGTGTTTGCTGACCTTTCCTGTGGGTTTATCATGATGAGAATCAAATTATATGATTTTTATTAGAAAAGAGAACTGTAAGTTGACAGGTTAACTTTACCATCTTTTCAACTGTGATTTTAAATAGAAAAATCTTAATACTGCACACTAAGAAAGCTATAATATTGCATGAGACAAGAATTCAGCACAGCAAGTTGTTTTAACATTAATAAATGCCAGTGTGCTTTCATTTTGCCTTTCTGCTTCTGTGATAAAGAAACAGAACCGTAGCCCCTGAAGCATATTCAGCAAGCTGAATTCTCTTTGTCACCAAGTCTGAAAAGCCATCATAATAGGAACATAAATATCTTTACTGGGTGACATATGCTTGTACGTTTCAGCCCTGATTAAGTTAGAGCATTGGTAATTATTCCAATAATGAAAGTAACAAACAAATTAATAACACTTGTCTGATATTATCAACATGCATTTTTGCTTTCAATTTTCAGTACCAGTTCTGAAACACAGATATTAATATTACAGACCAGACATATGCAGCCAGTTTCAGTTACATTCACAAATAATTTTCAACAGGATTTACCCAGTGACTGAAAATTAAGACTACATTAAAGTGTTTTTTCTATTAAGAAAAACACATTTGTCTTCTCCTTTAGATAGGGTTTCTTAAAGATTCCAGTAATAAGAAATTAAAACACATTTGTCTTCTCCTTTAGATAAGGTTTCTGAAAGATTCCAGTAATAAGAAATGATTTCTCTCATTGTTATCATATACCTTAATTTTGGTCATTGATGCATCAATAGAACACTCCAGCTCCTTGACCTGCTTGCTTGTCTCTGCTTTCCCCTCCTTCAGAGCGCTTACTACTTCATTAAACTTATCAAGTCTCTTCTTCAGCGTACGCACTTTTATCAGGCCATCAATGCTGTGAAGGGAAGACAGTTATTTGTATCTTGAGATGTTTTTGCAAGGTGATATTTTTAGAACTATCACTAATCACTCATGTAAAAGAGGTACATGGGGAGACAAGTTAAGCCTTCAGACAAAATTCACCCTCTTTCTTGAAATTAAAACATTCTCACATCAAGTAACTAAGCAACGGAGCCTTTTACAAACAGTACCTAAAACTGATTAGCAGACAGCAACTCAAAATGGAAAAATGCATTTTTATTTTGAGACTTAATGTGGGGGTGTTGGAGTTTTTTTCCCTCCAATAATAAATCGTTAGTATCCACTAGATGATTTTGACTGGAGTGGATAAAGGTTGAGTAGTGCCACTTAACTCAAAGAGCAATAATGGGACTGAAACAGATAAAACTTAACTGCACAGCAGGGAATACAGTTATTAGACCCCACAGGAGTGAAAACACAAGGCTGGGGAAAAGAAGAGTAAAAAAAAACCTTGGAATTTTTTTAAAAACCACTATTGAAGGCCACACATAGAAGTTGCAGCTCTGCAGACAATCTTCCTAACCAGAAATCAGAACTGGGACTCATGAAAGCAACACACAAAAAGTAGAAACTAAATCAAATCATTAAAAGATGAGTACCAAACAGCTTAAAAATAAAGGAAAATGGTCAGAAATGCCAAGGTTCAAAATGAAACATTAGCTATCAAAGGATGTAAAAGAACACAGTCTATAAGAAGTTCACTATTAAAGAACAGAGAGTTGGATCTCTACCAAAGAACATAAAGGTGTCAGCAGAGCTTAATGACCAAAGTGGTTGTTCCATCAGTATTCCATGCAGTCAGCTAATGGAATTAATTAATTTCAAGAGGAGACAGACAGAACACACAATTATTTCTAAACTAAAAAAGAAAGGGAGCTATAAAGGGAAGCGTGAATGGGTAAAGGCCAAAAATTAATGAGCTTAAATTTCATCTAGAGGGACTTAATGAAGGATTTCTAAAAACTAGGCTGTCACTGAAGGATTTATGAACAAAGAGCTAAACAAATATCTTTTAGGAAAGGTTCAGATTTAGTCTCTTCATCTTTGGGAAAGAGCAGAGCAACACAGAACCTCTTAGTATTTCCTTCAATTGTACTTCGCATCATTCTATGACTTCAGATATATTTAGTTAGTATAGTAACTAAATAGTTTAATATAGTAAACCTCTTTACAGTCTAAAGAAAATATTATTTTAAACCTATTTTTTTCAGCCAAGGAATATCTTCTTACCGTGGTTTGTGCTTTCTCTTGCAAAGCCACATACGAATAGTCTTTTGTATTTTAATGCAGGCACTGGCTCGGTATTTTATCTTATTTTTCACTGTAAACACAGAGGAGATATCAAGTCTCAATGTTTTATACAATTTAACACAACTCCTACCTTACTCACACATTTGACGGCCCAAAACTGTATGTAGGCAACATGTGCTTGAGAGCTTGTTCTATATTGGAACCACAACACTTAAGACACCGAGGACAGCAGAATTCACAATCTTGGACCAGGCATAGAGGCTCCCACCCAAACCAAAGAGAAATGATGAAGCATATGCACATTCACATACATTCACCATTCCCCCACCTCCAGATTCAGACATCAGTAACCTTTGTGAAAAGCTTCGGGGCCTAACAAGCAGGAAACTCTCAGCTTGAAGTCTAAAGTCCTGTGCTGTAAAGTAATCAAGTAGCCAATATCTGCTAGAGCTAATAAATTGGCCACAACTTTGCTGAGCATTTCTCTACAATACTGAAATGAAGAAAAAGCCCACAAAACAAAACCTCTAGCTGTTGTTCTAATACAGTCTTCACCTAAAGACTCAAATGCTTGGGACCAGGAGGCAAGTTAAACAGAATCAAGACACAAGCATGCGTGCTGACTAGTTCAACAATAAATGCAGTTTTTATAGATCTGGTAGAGGAAACAAAGATGCCCAAGGATCCACACTGCCTTTAGTCATCTGCCAAGCACATGGTTTGTGACCACACTGATACTTAGCTACTGGACTTAGGCACTCACAAGATGCTCTCTACTTCTCAACTATTTCAGCTTTTTATGGGGATAAAATTAGATTCAAATTTCCCATAAAACACTACAAAGAAGTAAGGCACATCAATATTACTTCCCTGGGTTTGTAGTTTTTGGACACAGTGACAGACTTCCTGTCCTGCCTTTCTGAAAATTAGACTAAATGTCATATATTTCTATGCCATTAATTCTACTACCAAGATTTTAGCGCAACAATTTCTGATGTCTGAAACCTATATGATAAGAATTGACAAATGCTCTTTGCCCCACTATAAACAGCAACAACTAATATCCAAATTAGTGACAGATATAGAAGTCATGACTGTGCTGGCCCAAATGCACAGCTGTGTGTGCACAGGCAGGAGGCTTTTATGCTTTCTTTTTTTTCCTCCATTTTGATGCGCACTTTTCACCCTCCATGTTATTGCAGGTTGTTGATATTCTCCATCAGACCTTTTCCCATCTCCCAGACACCTTTATGTCACACCACAAACACCTATCTCTATTCTACACCGCCTCATTCTTACTCTGCACAGTAAATTTAAGGCCAGGTTGAATGAGGTCCGGAGCAATCTGGTCTTGTGGGAGATATCCCTGCCCATGGCAGGGGTTTGGAACCAGATGCTCCTTAAGGTCCCTTCTGACTCAAACCATTCTATGATTTTATAAACTGGGCAGGCCCAGCACTTAGAAACTGCATATCAACAGCAACAGGACTCATTTGCTGACGAACAGTAATTGTCAGAGTGGAGATGTTTCCTCTGGAATTCATGTCAGTGCTTTCAAAATGAAGTTTCTGTCTGGAGATAACAACCTCTGTGCAGGCAATTCCCAGAACTAAATGACTCCATATTGCCAGCTGAGAGCTGAACTATTGCTCTTTCTTGCAGATGCAGAAGTCTCTTCCTGGAAAGACCTGTTAGAGCTAGTTATTTATGTGCAAGTGTTTACCCAGGCTTCAGTAAGCACCAAAACAGACTGGACACAGGAGATTGGTGGTGAGCTGTATTTCCACTTTGTAAAACCTCTGCTGTAAGTTGTATTATATATCCTTCCCTATACATGTCTAACACACAAAAAAGGAAAAACCTCACCCCAAGCTTGGAATCAATTACTTGGACTTCAGTATGTAACCATCTGCTCTACATGTCCTTGGGCCTCAATTCAAGGTGATAATAATTGCTTTGCTATAATTTTAACAAACATTTTGATGTAATAAAGCATAAAATGCTTACATTTAATCACCGAGAGCGAACACCACTGAACTTTTTTCCAACGACTGCAGATAAGCCAACGATTCACTCTTTTAACCAGCTCTGCTAAGTGATCCGGATCGGACTTCATTATCTGATCAAACTCTGCAAACTAAAGAATAATTAAAAAAAAAGTTTTACACATTTGGAGAACAGAGTTTTAGACATTACTATATAAGATCATGCTGAGTTAAAATTTTTTTTATGCAAACTGTATGTCATTATATCAGCTTTCAATCAATTAAAGTGAGCAGATATGTCTGGCATTGCTTTATTGTTTAATGATAACAGAAATTACTACTGAAGCTTGTTTTATTGATGTGCAACACTTAGCATTTTGAATAATTCAACTCTTTATTCATCACTAAAAATATTTATTAACAAAGTTTTTCTACATCCTGAAAACTTACTCTGACCTTCCACAACTTCAAGACACCTCTAATTCTCTATCTGAGGAAAAAAATAAACCCTAAAACACTTCCCAATACTTAACCTTTGTATAAGAGTCCCACTGAAGGCAACCTTTTCTGAAAATCCTGCACTTGTGCTTTTCAGTAATTATGATGGTAAGAACATTCTTCTGGGACTACAATAATTTTCCTTTATAAGCACTACAGCTCCCTACTTCATCTCCTTTCTCTGCATAGCAGCAGCAATGCTCGGAATCACAGAAAGATTTCAGCAATAAATAGATTTTACTAGGAAATATTTTTTGCTTTCCTCTGACTCCCTCTTTTTAATAGTCAACATAAGTCTGGGAAAACAAACACTGCAATAGAAATACTGCAACATTAGCAACAAGACTATAAAACCAATTGTATCAATACTAATATTGGTTTTTTTCTCATAGAAAATGAACAATATTTGCAAAAATCCTGAGCATTCTTATTTAGGTTGGCCACACTTGTAGCAATGTGTGGAGTAATGTCACCTTCAAAGTCCCCTTCGAGCCAAAATTACTCTAAGAGTCACATTCAGGAACTTCAAGAAAAAGATTACCTTGCCAGGTCTAAAAAACACCTTGGTTAGCCCAAATTTGTAATCATTTTCATTCAGTCCCAAGGCTTTAAATAGTGCCTGAAACACAAAAATTGGAAAGGGTTATATTTCACCTCCTTCAAAACACCCAAAAAAGTTCAAAGAACACAAAAAAAACAACCTCACAACACATGTTTTCTCCTGGAAGACAGAGGAGAATTCATTTCTTTCTTACTTTGCAGAAGAGCCTTGGGTCCAGCCGAGCCAATTTATCAGGCAAGTATTTCTTGTACATATTATATAGTTCATGAAATGAAGCTCGTGAAGGAAAACCACCTTGCATCAAATCCAGAACTGCCACCATCCCTAAATTCACACAAACACATGCACAAAAGCTGGTATCACTAACATGCAAATAAAGCAGTGAATTTTATGATTATCCAGGAGTGTATGACATAAACCTCAAAGACATTGTTCAGAGACTAAACCACAAAGTTCAGCTGGGACTTGATCCAGCCTCTAACATTTTTTTGATGATATGATCAGTCACAAAAAGTCAATACCGAACAGACGAGAAGAGCTCACACAATTTTCTCCCTATTTGAGAGTTAAGTAACACCCAGTCACGCAGAGGAATTTTTTTCTAATATTTCTTCTAAATACTTTTTACCTTTTCAGCAGACTTAACTTTTCATTATTAAAGAAAACAAAATACAAACCAACAACAAAAAAACCAAACCGCCAAATAATCTGTTATTCTCATCATGTCAATGGTATTTGTGAGATGTGGTACAGATGCAGCATCAAATACATATGCAGTTCTAGAACATTTAGTGTACTTGAAGCATGAGATATCAGCTGCTAAGATGTAACTTTAACATCCTGAATACTGTTACTACATTTTGGCTGCAGCTAGGAAATCAGTAAAGTTCAGATACAGCCAGAAAAAGACTCAAATTACTTCAGACAGCACAGGCCATGCCAGTTTTTACATAACCCCATCAACAGAGGCTGCATGTATGTTTTTAAGTTAGCCCTTAACTTGTGGTTGCTGACTATAAACTTAATCTTTTGCATATTTGCTTTCAGTGGAGATGTGATTTGTTTACACTGTCCTTGTTTTTACAGCATTACATCTTGGTTTTTCAACATTACGTGGTTATAGCTTTGTCTTACTAGGTTAAGCTTCAATTCATGCTGCTCAAGTAAGCATAAATAGAAAACTGAGTTTGTAAGACTAGTGTAAAACATTGCAATTAAAAAGTTGGTGAGTTTTTGTGGTGATAACATGGCATGTTAAGTATGTCAGCTTATCAAAACAACAACTGAAAGCTACTGAAAAGACAAAAACACAGAAAAGGGAAAAATATATTGAAGTGCTTTGTTGAACAAACATCTTATGAAGAACAACAAACCAGCATTCCAATTCCCAAGCAAGCAGTTTCTTCCACTGTTCAGTGGGGCATGAGCAAAGCTGCAAATACTCATTCTCTAAAGTAAAGCTGCAAATTTGGAAAGCATCTAGCATTTCAAGAATAATGAAGATGGGGAATCACAATCTGTTGTGTACAAAGAAACAGGAAAGACTATGCTGAAGTGTCTGTGATGGATGTTCAACCCCAAATCAAATTGGGGTTGAACAGTGATATAAAGGAATTTTTAAAAGGTAAACCAATATGATTAAACTTCATTATAGTATCTATAAAATCAAAGAAAATAGGTGTGCTTCAATTATTAGGTATCTCAGCTCACATTGACTGCCTCTAAATGCACACAGGAGTTTCTAAGACTTCAACTGCCACAGTAATTTAAAAGATTTCTACTGTTCCAGGTGGAACTGATGCCCTATTAACACTGTGGACAAGACGATATGATGGGATTCAGCTCCAGGTCAGGAAATCTATATTTATGTACCAATATATCACTAAATGGCTTCTTACATGTTCATCTCTCATTATAATAAATGGGAAAACAGTCAATGGAAATTACATCAACTCTTCTTGCAAACAAGAGACCTTAAGGCAGTTGAGATGAATTATTTCTAGGGTTCAATTGACTAAAATGAGAGCGAAGTTACTAAGAATCTAAATAACTGTTCATAAGGCATAAACAACAGCTCAAGCAAGGAAATACTGCCTTCATCTCATATATTTCAAACTTAAGTTAATCTATAATGCCCAAAGTGAAAAACAGATGGTTATCTATCAGAGGGATACAGTACCTGAACACTGAAGCTGAGAGAGGATCTGTCCTCCTTCAAAATGGTGATTTGTCATCTTTAAATTAGGTTTGATACAGCGAATAAAGCTAGACCCCTATTACCAAAACCAGAAGTTAGCAGAATCTACACATGCATAGAATATCCAAAACAACAATTAATCATTTTAGACTTTTGGGTAGAACAAAAAAAGAAGATACAAAATAACAGGTTTTTTTAATGAGAAATGCTGACATTCTTTTCCACTCATAGATCAGTTTTGCACTCCAGCCTTGGTCTTGATGCAACTGATCTCAATGCTCAAGCTATTAATTGGATCTTCAATTTTGTTGAGTTTTCACTCAACTGTTCTTTTTAACACTAGTACAATCTAATTACAATTTTTCAATAGAGATTCTACTACCCTCATTATCTTCTGTAGTCACACCACTTAAATACCTCAGTCCTCCAGAGTTCACATCTGTGAACATGCTACCAGACTCCTGATGGTGGAATCATGCCAGATGAACTTGACCTTCCTTTCTTCTAACTTTTACATTTTACAACTTCTTTTGTCTTACGGCTTCAACCTCCCTTCCCCCATGCTGTTCCAGTCTGCTCCTCTCTTATGCCCATGGGTGCTACCTCTACAGTTTTGACTGCTGCTTTCTCTGATGATTTCACACTCATTAAGGATGACATTTTCGCAAAGCACCATCCAATTATTCACATATACCAGGTGACTGCTAATGATAACCTACCTTTCATATACTAAACCATAATTGGGACTGAGAAAACACAGTATTACTCCTGGTTTGCAGTGTCTTCTCTCTTTTTCCATCTCTCAGCTGAGTGTGAGAGAGCTTCTGCCAAGGGAGCTCTGTGTTAACAATACCTCCTCAGTCATGGCTTAGCTAAACTCAAGAGTACAGCAAGCCTGACCACATGTATTTTCCCTGGACTGGGCCTCAGTTCCAGAGTGTTCTGTGTGAAAGACATCTTTCAAACCAGCCTCCTGACTACAGTAAAAATGTCAGCTACACTCCAGCACCTGACTCCTTTGTTTCCCATGTTTTTCCCCCTCTCTCGTTTTTGACAGAGCAAAATCTCATAAATAAAATTGGTTAGAACATGTGGTCAAGAGAAACAAGAGTGTTCCTACAACTCCAAGTTCTAGAAGAAAATGGGCATCTAGAACTACATGGAGAATTTCACAAATTTTCAGAATTACATCAACTAAGTTAACAAATACTCATTAGGGGACTCATGTCTTTGACCATCTGTTTATTTACAGCCTATCACAAAAGTGAAACTAAAAAAAATAATTGAATGGTTTTAGAAGATCTAAAAAAGGCAATTAATAATAAATTATCTTCTGCCTTGCTTCTAAATAATATCTCTCAATTTTCCACATATTAGTCATCAATGTTAACCAATGAATGGAAAGTAGTAAAAGTAACCAAAAAAAAAAAGGAGATTTCAGCCTGGGCAAATTTCATATTTTTAACTCAAACTGTGTAACTTTCATTCTACAACAACCTTTTTAAAGGTGGTGGAGTTTTTTAAGGTAAATCAATAACCATCACCCACACAGTAAGACGTTTCAGAAGTGCCACATAGCTACAAACTTTAAAGCATT